ATTAAGTTGGCAAATGCTCTTACTAATGAAACTTATGCTTAGGGAAAGTTCCAAAGAAACAACCCTCTCGGTGCTCAAGCTCTCCTACTCTCTGAAGTTAAATCAGAACATCAGAAGGAGCTTGCACTAAAGGATGATGAGCTAAAATGGTGCAGGATAGAATCAAGACAAGGCTGAACGATTAACGGATAACCAACGTTAATATCTCTAGATGAATGAAGGACTCTTCTCGTATCAATGGTCATATTCAAAGAAGATTACAGTGCTATCACTGAATATCCTTCCAGATGCATGGATTCTATGAATGGTTGGAGATTCGACATGCCATTCAAAAGTTCAAATCCAAATACAAGGAGTATACTAAAGCATACTGAATGATCCATTTAGAAGAATCTCCAAAATCATCAATATTCCTTCCTTACCTCAGAAGATCTCTCGCCGAAGAAAGACGATACCTGACGTTAAAGAAGGACCAACACACAATAATGAACATGAGACAAAACTTTCTATGGAAGAACTTCTTAAACATGTCAAGTTTCCAGACTCGTTAATGTTGAACCTGTCTTTATCACTAAAAGTCCCTTACACTCTGAACATCGTGTATGTCAAACCTGAGTATGGACTTATGTTCATAGATTATGAGCAACAACACTGGTTTCAACAAGTTTCAGAACTCTATCTCTACCCTACAGACCATCTAGAATATCTTCGCTAATGGCTGAATGAAGACCTATTTGGTGAGATGATAGACATCAAGATCAGAAAGGAGATGTTGAAAAGAGAAAGAATCAAGGAGAAGATATCCCTGACTACATTCCTTTTAATGATCTTGATTGATATGTTTTATTTTGTAGCTTGTCAATATTCCACTTTTAGTGTATGGTACTTTATGTCTTGTAATTTCATTTATAGTTGTAATCATCAGTTTCAAGTTAAATGAAATCTCAATGAAGTACATTATTCCATCTTGTGTACTGAAAAAAATCCCTCAAAACAGTAACTAGGACAAGTATTTTTTGAGTTCCATTTCATTATTGTATCTTACTTAGTAGTTTTCTTACTTTTTCTTAGTCATCATCAAATAAGGGGAGATTGTTGATCCAAACTATCTCAATGATTTGATGATGACCCTCTTATACTTAGTGAAAATACTTAGTTGTTTTCCTCAGTTTCAGCAATCAGTATTGAGTATGTTCAGTGATCGTTGAACATGTAATGTAATAGCCTTAGAACTTACGTATTCCTCAAAGACCCTCACACCAAAGAAACCTTCAGTGATGTTGAAGATAGAGCTGAAGATAAAGACTAGTCTATTCGTGATCAGAAGCGGACATTAAGTGATAACAAGACTGTCTACAACAAGTGTGAAATCTGACCAAGACTCAACGTATCTGAAGAATCCTTAGCGATTATTTACTATCATTAATCAAAGAGTCATGCGCACTAAGATTAGTTTTTGTCTTATCCTTTTTTACTCAAAGGACATATCACAGCTTCCACCAGACAAAGGTATATGTACGAATCACTTTATTGTTCCCCACGTGCTTACCAACTACCTAAAGCAACTATTCATATTCGGCCAAAAGTCTACCACATCTGATGAACAAGGAAAAGGATTTCACTCTTGGTGCATTTAATGCAATGTATATAAATAGCTGAGAATACTCTTCTTCTCATCTATGCCTTCTTCTTCCTTTGAACTCTTTTTTTTCTTGTACTTATTTCTTTCTTGCACAAACATTCTTAGTGATTCTCAAATATTGTTTGGATTAGGTGTTCTTACCTTGATCTTATCCCTCAACAATCTATAAATTATGTTTTGATCTTCTTATATCAATAAATGATTTTAAAAAGTGAAATTTGTGTGTTTGTATTCAGTTCATCCCCCCATACAAACTGTTATACCTTTAAACTCTTGTAGAACCCTTATTGGGACCAACACTCATTATAACTTTCAGGTAATCAACTCAAATGTAAATAAAATCATTTGTCATACTTATTTCATCAAAAGATACAAAGTCCAAAAACCCCCAAATTTGACCTAGGTGATCAAAAATCAACCAAATAAGAAATACATGGTTTTATAAAGGTGTAGGATGAACTCACAATGCTAGATTTTAGCCAAAACTTAGGATTCAACCTTGATGATGTTAAACCCCTTTGAAATGGTTGAGGAAATGTCTTAAATGCTCCCAAAGTCGGAGTAAATGAGGAGGGAAGGAAGAAAATTGAGTAAGAAAACTGTAGGAGAAATGAGAGAAACACCCTAAGAAAATCCCGTCTACTGATTTGCTATTAGACTAGATATTTCACAAGGTAAGGTTCAATGATTAACGCCTACCTATCGTTTGCAGGATTCATGCTTTGAATTTGAGAATATGACTATTGTGATTCTATGACAACTTCATTCATATGGGTTTTGATGGAAAAATGAATGAAAAATTATTAATGAGGCCTTTGACCTTTCACATCATTCGGTTACAATCACTGGAATTATTTTTCATTATGATTTGAGGTATTTGACCTTTCATCAGTTACAAATATATTTGTTGGTCCCGTAACGGTCTACAAGAAATGTATAACAGTTTGTAAAAGGGGGGGGGGGGATGAATACAAACACAATATTTTCAAATTTAAAATGTATATTGATAAGAGAAGATCAATACAAATTTTACAAGACTGTTTGCGGAAAGATAAGGTAAGAAAACCTATCTAAACAATCTTTGGTTACACACTGAATCTTAGCAAATAAGAAAAGATATACTGTAGAGAAGAGTTCTTTTACTTAAGCTCAAAAATGCTCAAAGTAAGAATTAGGTTAAGAGAGTGTGTTGCGCGCACACTCTGCATGAAGAAGAAACATTTCTATTTATACCCATTGCATTAAATACACATTTAACGCAATATGGTAGGGTTAGAGTGCGTGTCAAGCCTTAAGAGGAAGACTTGTCCTTTGCTACAGTGAATAGTACAAAAAGCCTATTCATGAGCAGACATCCTGGGTAACAGAGTCAACTAGTCGGCTCCGTAGCGTACTAACATTTAGAAAGAGTACGGGTTTGTCCTTTGTGTGTATAAGGACAAGACAACAACAATCGTGCATGGCAAGCTTCCTTTGATCGCTGAATGCTGATAACCTGGAGGTCTCTTCAGCATTCACTTAGACTTGAGCAGTCTTCACACATATGTAGACAAGCTTGTAATCACTGAGTACCGCTTCAGATCACGTACTCGTCAGTCTCTAATCTTCAGTTTCGGTCTTCGACATTGGCTGAAGATTCTTTGGTGTGAGTGTTGTTTTCTTGGAAGTATCGCTGTCGCTGATTTGAATTACCATACAAGCTCTTCAACGATCACTGAACAGGCTCAGTGAAGATCGCTGGAACTAAAAAGACAGAAACATAAATACTTCGTATAAGTGAAAAGGGATTATCATCAAATCACTGAGAGAGAGGATCAACAATATTTTCTATATAAAGAACACAATCTTGAGTGCTAGGGGTTAGAGGAAGAAGGAACTACAAGGGACAAGAGTATACACAAGGAAAACATAGAATATAGATTCTCAAGTTCGGGATTAAGGTGAAGTCTGATAGAACTCGATTCTATTTAGAGTCGTTGTATCCTGGTAAATCGACCTGCGGTTAGGGGCAAATCGGTTTTAAAGAAACCATGTCCAACACAGGCCTCGACTCAATACTCGGTTATGTTTCCAACTTTCTTTAATTTAGTTTATAACTTTATTTTGGTGAAACTATTTTGCAACACTTTCTAGTATACGTTTTGTTATCATCAAGTCATAAGATATTGTTGAGTCATAGTTAGAATGAAGATCTGATGATAAAAAAAATATTGATAAAATACTTGTTGATATTAGGTTAAGTTTGTATTATGCCATATTGTTATTTATAGGTACCGCCACTAACTAGTCGTTGACACTAAAGGTTCAACCATTGAAGTTTTGTTGTTGATACTAAAGCTCATCCCTTGAAGGGTGATCAATCGAGGCATTAATAGGCAAAGGTGTTAAAAGGTCAAATCTAAGAAGGTCATCTGACATCTAAGGACCTTATGTTGATGATTTGATGACACGATTCAAGATTAGTGCATGTGTGCCGAATAACTAATGAAGATATCGGTGTGGAAAGTCTATAACTTGATCAACAAATATGAATTGACAACCATCGATGGGTCTTGATCAACTGATGGACCCACAGACAAATGGGCAAACTATAGTCGTTAAAGCCAGTAACTTGATGTCCTATCAAGGAAGATTTTGTTTTTTTTCAACAGATAAATAAAAGTACATGTCTCATACACGTTAAAAGTAGCATACAAGGACAGGAAGTCAACTCGATAAGTCAACAAAAAGGCGAACATTTAATAAATCACAATGTAACATCCCTAAAATTTGAAAATAGTAGGCAACCATAGAGAACGGAGTTTATGATGCTTTTTATGTAAAATCTATGCTTGCTTGACCTAGACATATTCTCATATATTGGGATCTTGTATCGGATTCACATCCCAAAACAATATATATTTTCCCCCTCGATTTCTTGGATCTCCGAAAGGTCTTGACTTTGTCTAAAAATTGTATATTTCCTTCTTCAATGGTGTCGACGATTGTTTTATAATTTAACGTTCTTTATTTAATGGAATGTCTGTTTTATATAATAAGAAATTTTAATTAGTAATGAATAATATAATTTAGCATAAACATATAAATACAAATGTTGATATAATTTGTAAATAAAGGCATTATTTGAAAGTTCATATGTTTTATCTAATCCATTAAAAAACAATGTTTGTTTGTAACATAATTAAATTTTGCATAACGGATTGAATATCCTAAGTTAATAAAATAAAATTTAAATTTTGCAACAAATTTACCCATTGGCAGATTATAACTGGTCAAAAGACATTTTACCCACCTCTAGACGCTAGTTAGAACACTATTAAAAGGGACAAATGCAAAAAAATTGCAAATTAGCAAAAAATAAAGGTAATTTTACATGTTAATTATACATATTAGCAAAAAAATAAAGGTAATTTTACAAACTTAGTCTTTGTTGAACATATTACAATATGAGATTATGAAATTGATGTATCCCAAGAGGGGTATGTGTGTGTGTGTTTTTTCCTACCATTCCTTTCCAAAGACATTGGTTCTACAAGACAACAATCTACTACCAAAGCTTCACAGGGGTCGATTGGGAATTTTTAAGCTGCTTCGGACGTAATCGCCTTCTCGGGAGCAGTAGAATCGGTGAGCTCACGACCACTTGTTTCGAATGGGAAAAGCAGTACACATACGCCTGAAGCAAAAATAACAAACTCGAACAGGAGGATGGCTGCGGTTTGATGACATCCATGAATCAAACCAACTGCCACCAGCGGACATACCATTCCGCCAATTCGTCCCACCGAGCTGCCGACGCCAACACCGGTTGTTCTCACTGATGTTGGGTATATCTACAATAACAGATCAAGAAAACCTAGTTGAATGTTCCGCTTCAATACTTTGTACTACAGTAACCAAACCAAACGAGGGCAGTATATCTCATCAGAGGTCATGGGGTCTGGGAGTGGGATATATGCAAGATCTGACCTCTAGACCAAGAAGTAGAATGGTTGTTTCCGTGTAAAACCCAGCGATACTTGTAGGACAATGTACATGGATTTCAAGTCAATAACCAAACCAAACCAAAGCATCCCAATATATCCCACCTTGACTCCCTGAGGTGGGGTCTGGGGTGCAGAGGCAGACCTACTAAGAAGACCCCAGGTGCACCTGCTCTACCGTCCAGCCGTAAGATTAGGGGTGCACCAACTTTAAATTGATGTGTTCCCCGGGTCATTAGGGATATGACCTTAAATGAGTTCTTAATTAAATCCATGACCTGCCTATTTTTTCTAAAAAATGGTTTTCTGCCCATGAGAAAGCCATGGATTTAATTAAAATCTCATTTAAGGTTGTATACCTAAAAATCCGTGTCCCCTAAGTTAACAATAAGTGGTTGCAGCCTACTATACGTTGCAAGTTCAAATTCCGTTGCCTTTTTTTGGTAACTGTAGCAGAAAAAGATGGAAAAGAAAGAAAAAAACGACTATCTAGGTGTTGCTAAAAAAACATTGCCAAGTCATTTTTATTGAAACCGTACTTTTTATAATTAATATTTGTTTCATTTTACATTATGCTAATTGGTTTGTGCACCCACTTAAAATTCCTGGGTGCGCCTCTGGGGACTGGCATGTAGACACACCTGACCTCTACCCCAGGAAATAGGGTGATTGGTTCAGTGAAGACCCCAACAATACTTGTATTACAATATATATGGATTCAAGTTAAAGGACTTGCCTCTGGAGCATATATGTAGACGACCGTGAAGGTTGTGGTGATGCATATTCGAGCCATAAATAGAAGACCAGTTGTTACGGCCTGAGGTTGATGGAATACCAATGGGAGCAAGAAAAGGCAACAGAGAAAGAACATTGTAGACATCGAGCCCTTACGACCAAGCTTATCGATGGTAAAAGCCGATATAAGAAGTCCCGGGAACTCTTGAAGCAAATCAAAGGTAAATGCACTCAGCCATCTTCCCAGGTGAATATAGAAACATATTAAACTGTGAAAACATTCCCATGATCAACATGGTATATAAAACAGAAATAAACCAAAAAAAAGTCAAACGGGCGCGGATTATCCCACCCGAATGTTGGGTCAGGGGTATGATGTACGCAACGCAGGCCAGACTTCTACCCCAAAAGAGTAGAGCAGCTATTTCTTTGAAGACCCAAGGCTTGTGAAAAGTGTGCGAAAATAGAGAAAGTTAGCCCAAAGAGTTTGACAAAGAAAATGTCATAAAAGGCAAGAAAAAAATGATAAATTTTTGAAAAGCTAGCTGTTATGGTATATAAAACTGAAATAGACCAAAAAAATATTCAAATGGGCCGAGTATACCCCGCACGAAGGTGGGGTGAGGGTTATGATGTACGCCAAAGGTTATAGTGACTGTTTCTATAAAGAACCACCCGGCTTGTGAAAAGTGTACGAGAAGAAAGAACCCAAAGGGTTTGACAAAAAGGACTTTAGATATGATAAATTTGGATAAATAGTTATGAAGCTAGTTTTTATGGCATATAAACATACCTGCGAAACTAGTAATGAAAACGTCTTTATAGCTAACCTCCTCGGAATGTGTAGCTTGTGATCCCGTCCGTACACAAGTGTTACTCCCATTGTGCAACTCAGTAGTAAGGAGAACTAGGCCATAATACGAGAAAGCGTTCCCAAAGAAAACAACCCATAAAAGTAGTGTTGGCTTTATTAGTTCAGGTGAAAAGAGCAGAGACATTGTTGAGACGTTTCTTTTACTATGGTCGATGATTTCAGGTTTTTCATCATCAAACTTAGTCTGGGAGAGTAGGTGTGCACCTTCTGGTTCAGTGGGCTTGCCATGTAACTCAATCTCGTGATCAGAAACGAGAATGCCAGGAGGAAGTGGCTGCCCATTAGTCTTGGCAACTCTCTCGAGTATTCTAAGTGCTTCACTCGTTCTCCCTTTCAAGCACAAATATCTCGGAGATTCAGGGACAACCCGGTAGAACACAAGCAGCAGTGATGAAGGAAGAGATGAGAATGCAAGTAACCATCTCCATCCCAAGGTTGGCATCACAAACTACAAAAGAATAAAACACATAGGAGTGAGTAATATTTTGTGATTCCTTTTTTGTTTAACTTACATGTTGCATACTTGCACACATTTGTATGTTAATATGCTACTTTGCTCACATGTCTCTTTGTATTTTTGTTTTTGTTTTGCAAGCCGAGGGTCTTCATGGAAACAGCCTCTCTACTTTTGGGGTAGAGGTGGTGTACGCATACACCCCAGACCCTACCTCTGTGTGGGATATATAGGGTTGGTTTGTTGTTGGGTTTTTAGTAGTTAGTAATAAACATCCTTTTGAAATTACTAATGGTTCGAGCTTCTACAACCAGGTCAAAGAAACCTTCTACCACACAACGAAAGAACACCAACATACGTGTGCATATATGCATACGTACATAAAATACAAAAGAGTAAAATATATAAGAGTTAGTTATTTTGACATTACTAATGGTTCAACCTTCTCCAAACATGTCCAAGAAACCTTCTATCACAAACAGCGAAAGGGCACCAACATATGTCTATATATGTACATGTACATAAATACATATATTGTATATACACATATATATGCATGTGTTTCTGCATATTAGCATATATGAATACATACATTATATATACACATATATGCATGTGTTTGTGCATATATGTATATACGTTTATGTTTCTGTGTGTGTGTGTTTGCATGTACATTGTTTCAATAGGCTTTGTTATCGACTTTGACCAAGTTTTACAGTTGGCTGAGCAGGCTAGAAACAATAACTAAAAGCAACATAACAAAATCAACATGTTTTCTCCTTTGTTCATACTCAAGGTAGTGTACCCATTCCAAATTTTATTCGAATCAAACGATCCGCAGCTGCCAATATGAAACTTCAATATGCATCAGATTCGGATTCAGGCTAGACATAATGTACTAGATTTTGGCTAAAAAAACTAATCTAAATATATCTATAAGAGTTAATATAGAAATTAGAAAATGATATAGGGAAGCATACCCATGCAACAGAAGCCTCAAAAATGGTGCCAACAGTCCAAAAGGCTGAAAACACAACCATCCAGGTGCCTCTGCTTGGAGCAGGAATAAACTCTAAAAACCAAGAAGAGAGTACAGGCCCGCCTCCCAGACCAACACCAACGAGACAACGAAGAATAATCAGGAAAGTGTAGTTAGGAGCTAAAGCACTAAGAAAACCCGCCACAGAAGTAACCATTGCAGTAATAAGGAATCCATTCCTGCAAGATAAAGAAGAGAATGAAATCAAAACTATAGAATGAAATCAAAACTATAAGGTATGTGTCGGAACCATCAATGGTAAGGTGATGAAATACATATAATATCGTTTAAAAAACTGATGATTAAGCCATTGATTCAGAATTAGAATAGAATCAAGGAGAAATTAAAGACGACGTGGGCTCCATTTCCATACAATCTAGACCTATAGGATTCTTTACTTATCCGTATCCATATCAGAAATTGAATTGTTTTAGGAAGTGGGTGCTTGGTTTCTTTAAGGAAATGGAAATGGGAATGAGTTTCGTTCCCCCCAATTTGTTGAGGAATGTTGTGATGTATATTCATCATTCTACTAGCAAATCAGAAGTAGATTTAGGGTTCTGCTATAACTAGCCGAATTCAAACAATTTCCTGGCTTTCGAGAGCCCAGTGCTCTCCCAAGGACTCTCACCCCAAGTGTTTATAAAACAAAATAGATACCCTCCTCACACTCACCGCCCATTATTTATATCTTTAATAACCTGCTTTAACTACTTGCACCACTGCCATAACCGCTTGTACATTTCTCCTACAGCCCATTCTTTTTGACAGGTTTGACTTCTTAACCCAACCTATTTTGATTTATTTAACCACAATCCCAGGGTATAACATGTTGCATCACCCAATATCTGGTAATGACCCATTTCATTGCATCAAACCAGGCACCATAATCATTTCCATTTCCATTCCCCACACCCTATTACGCCCAACTAAGCACCCCCCCCCCCCAAGGAGATATGCTAATATGCTTACTTCCCTGCACGTGTCATTTCAGTCTGTTCAGGCATGCCTGTTTTCCATAAGCCAAACCAAACAAGCAAAGTATATGACACCTGAAGGTGTGGTCCCGTGAGAGGGGGAGAATTATAATACCCAGTTTTCGTTATAATTGTTATGTGTTCCGTTTCCGTTCTTTATGTATATATAAGTATTTGTGCATTACTCACTTGTACAATAGCTTGAAATGTCTTGTACCTTGTATTGGAAATGAAAAGTATAATGGTAAATAAGGACCAAAGTTGTACAAGCTAACCTTGGTTTAGGACCAGATTGTAGTGAATTTGTCATATAGGAGTTAGTTTGTAAAAGGCCAAAGTTGGGGGTTTGTAAAGAAATTTCTTTTTCCAATAATTAAGCGCCTGGGAGGGGGGATATTATGGGGTCTCTTTTTGAAATTAATAATAGCAATGAAAGAGAGTTGGACGGAAAAGGATATACTATAATGACACAATGGAAAGGAACTATACCTCCTTCCATACTTATCTGAAACAACACCCCATGAATATGCTCCAACCAACATGCCAGCAAATACCACACTAGTTATCATGCTCTCTTCACGAGAGGAAAGATTCCATGCAGACTGAAGTGCAGGTCCGACAAAAGAAAGAAGCATCATCTCCATGGCTTCTGAAATCCAACCCATTCCTGCATAGGCAAGGACAAGAATTTGGAATTTCCCAAAGCCAACAGCTGCAAGTGCATCATCTACAGTGTAGGTTCGGGTCTCATCTTCCATCTAGCCAATCATTATAACAGACAATTTAATTCCAAAAGTTAGCCACGTAATATAAGAGGAACACTTTGTAGAGAAAAAAAATATCATGATGGACTTTAGATCAAATAAACCCACCCCTTTACGATGTAACAAATGTATGTAGTAATGTAGATGTAGAAAAACACATATATCAATGGAGATAGAAAGTGATCACTTATTTTTCTCCCAGAAACTTCTTAGATCTGCATTTTTTTCTCCCTCCCAGCAATTGATAGATGAGAACACAGGAAATGTGCAACTCCACTCAAAACGGGTATAGTGGACCCGACCCAAAATGAGTGGACATATGTGTATGAACATATCAATAATCATACTATGATAAAACATTTCTCAAAAACTTAACAAGGAAATATCCCCCCGTGCATCCAATATACAGATGGAATACAAAATTATTCCCATTTTCTAGTTTGTCCTCAAATAAATATTAGAAGCAGTCTCTGAGAGAATGCATCCAACTTATTAGTCTGAATCCAAAAAAAAAGAAATTGCTACCAAGTCAAACAAAAGGGTATCTAGACCTCTGGTAGATCAGCCCCAGGGAGGGTTAGAACCAGTGAACCACAAACAAATTAAGCAAAATTGACTATCGTATATTTATTTACATAATAGGAGTATAAGCTTCCCAAATGCATACATTATACATGGGGCATAATCAAGGAAGCACATTTCCAGATCCTAAACTAACAGACAAGTATCCGCCGCCATCAGGTATGTCTACTACATGATTGTACATCCCAAAGACTTTTCTTTTCACTTTTTAGTTATCGGTATGAGATAAAAATATTTCGGAAAAGAAACAAGAATTCCAAACTGCTTGTTTCATGGTTCTACAACTAAGAAATAGAAGACATGCCATAAATATGACAATTTGTGTATATCAAACATATTAGGCCAATATTCTGGGAGCAAAGAATCACCTTTGTCATGTCCATATGTTCAAATGTATAGTTGGTGCCAGTTGGGTTGTTTCTTGTTTGTGTTCTCTAAGAGTAAATATGAATATATTTAAACCATAACATTTCTCTTGAAACTTGATAAGGTTGTGGTCAATTAACAGTAGTTTTCTAGTTTACTAACCTAGACCAGACTAAGACACATTTTACACATAAAAAGGCTTGAACTATTTCCCTTGGTTTCATATAAGAGGTCCCTCCAAATATGTAGTATTCAATTTGCTCTCATGTTTGCCTCTAATACTAATTGTAAATAGGAATGGAGATGGATATTATGCATTAAATTACCATTTTTGTATCTGTGGTCCTTTTTTGGATTAGACTGGAAGAGGAACTGACATTCTTTCTCATAGTGGAGACTGGATGTACTTTTTATCCAAAGGCGTGGGAAACTTGGTGAGCCCTGGCCCTATTAGGGGCATCCCGGAATCAGGATGGAGAATCACAAGACTTCACTGCATGCTTGAAATATCGAGATGTTGCAGAATTCTAGTGGAGCCATTGAACTAGGCAATGAAAATTGAACATTTTAGCATTTAACTTGTAAGATGATAAAATGCAATAAAAGTGAAAAAAAAATTAAGTGAAATATAGAAGACTAAGAAAGAACAGAAAGGAAAAAAAAGTGGTGGAAGGAACAAAAGTTTAGTACTTTTATGCTATTATCTTAAGAATATATCCCTATATAGCTTCTGCTACCATATTAATTTATACTGTCCCAGCTTTTTTTATCTTTTACACTCTCTTCTCATGCTTTTTGCAGGGTTTGTTATGCCACTCAAAAAACTTCCACTGTCTCAAGCTCAAAGTTGTTAAATGCTCAAGGCGCACTTAGGAGCAACGGGGTCCCGGGGCCTAGGCGCAAGGAGCAGGTTTGAGGCGCAGGCCTCAGGAGCGTGAGGTGCGGGCCTCAGGAATTTGAGGTGCGGGCCTCAGGAATTTGAGGTGCATCTTATTAATATACACACACATGCACAGTTACACACAAGTTCCCAATGCAGCAACCAACAGTACTTTGATAGAGGCAGAAGGGTTTAAAGCGTGAGCCTTGAAGGAGAAGTTTTAAGCTCTGGCTATTTATAGAGAAGGAGGTGTGATGTTCTAAGGACTTGGTATTTAATATTAGGGTTTGACTTATGTCATCTATTTGATAACACCTTTTAAAAATCTAGGAGATGAGAAGATGAGAGAACTTATTTAATCTTAGGGTTTAACTGGGTATCTAGTAACTCTTTATGAGGCGCACCTAGGCCCACAAGGCACAGTGCCTTAGTGAGCCTCGACTTGAAAAAAGCCCAAGACCTTGAGTCTTATGAGCCTCAGAGCCTAGGCCCGCTTTTAACAATTATGCTCAAGCTCTTTACAATCTTGTCACAATCTTCTAAACCTTCAAATTTTCCTTTCTGGATATACTTTCTGTCTTTTTAAAAAGATTAAACTAAATTTTGCAGGCCAGCGGTATTCACTGAAACAACCTCTCTAGCCTTAGGGCTAGAGATAAGGTTTGCGAACATCCTATCCTCACCGGATCCTACTTCCGGGTGGGGTGGGATACACTGGGTTTGTTTGGTTTGGTTTAGTTCCATATTGACCAATGCATCTAAGAAAATAGCATTGAGCTTAGACATATATACGCTCTGTTGCCGAAAGGAGCAATATACACCTAAATAGATACACGTAAGGACACCATAGAGGCACCGATTGCTTCACAGTCAAGCTCTCATCCTCATGAATATTTAAAACTTAATCTGATAAGGTTCATACAAAGGCATCTATGATAGGAACCTTTTGCTGCACATCACGGTTGGTGGCAGAACCTTAATGAACCATGTTGAATGCAGCGTGCATGATATTAAGAACTTTTATTTATAGGGTTCTCCTCATCTCATGGAAACTACAACATTTTCTCTTAGCCACCAGCAGCGATGATAACAACATCCCAATGCCCAGAAGGTTTTCATTTCAAACCATTACTTGCTCATATCATTACAGAATAGGATTGATGGTGTAGACCTGAACGCACAACATTAATTTTTTGTCGTTTAAGCATACATTCTAAAAATGATGATAATTTTCATAGGATGGGAGTACCAATTTACGAATAAGGCCAAACCCACACCTAAAAACACCATAGGTCCCCAATTTCTTACGCCATTTATAGTCAAAGATCATACTCTAACCTGGAAAAATCCAGAAAAATAACAGCATTGAGATTTAAGTGAAATCATGAAAATGTAATAGCTTGCAAACAATGATCCAACAAATTGGGAAATAAACCCTAAATCAAAACAGGTTAACCGTTGCAAGAATATCCAGGTAAATTAAATCAAGAAGGTGTATACTAATGCTAATCAGATAGCCATATATGAAGCGAAAACAAAGATAAAAAGATGAATATTTTGCATAAAAATCGAACCTTGAGAGCAGAAAAGTAGCGAATGATATCAACGAAGGAGCAGGAGAAAATGTAGATTGATTTTTTATCTCTATTGACTTTGACGAGTCTCCATGCGTTTGTCAAAAGATGCGACCATCTACGACGTGAAACAACTTTTTATTTATGTTCTCCGTAGGTGGATGGCAAATGGACCTTGTGGTTTGTTCATCTTTGCAATTTAAACCCCTACAATTATGCGATTTCGATTCGGTCTAATTGATTTAGGTTGTAAAATATCGTCTAAATCCATAAATTAATTTAGCAAGAGTGGGTTGCGTCCACGTGAAACCATTTTGTTTTCATGAGATCCGTAAGACCTGATACTTGAAACATCACAGTAAAACATTGTGAAGATAAAAGAAATTTAAACCTTCACGGTGTTTGTTGTGAAGTTTCAAGTGTAAAAAAGTGGTCTTACGGGTCTCAAAAAAATAATCTGGTCTCATGTGATCCCAAGTCTAGCAAATGTACAAAGAAAAAGGGTCAAATTAATAGTCTCCGCCAAAATTTAACGTATTCTACAAAAAAGTGTATTGACCGTCACCTTCTAGATCTTTCAAACCTGTATCTAGGGCTGTAAATGAACCGAACGAACACGAACGGAGGCTTGTTCATGTTCGTTCGTTTAACTTAACCGAACAAACGAACGAACACGAACGGTAAACGAACGAAAATCTTTGTGTTCGTGTTCGTTCATTTAGAAATAAGGTATGTTCGTGTTCGTTTATATTCGTTCGTTAACATGCCAAACGAACGTAAACGAACGAACATAAACGAACAGGCTAAACGAACATAAACGAACAGGTTAAATAAACATAAATAAATATTATTTAAATTCAAAGTAAATAAATAAAAGATTATATATTAAATTTAATATATAAACGAACATAAACGAACGTAAACGAACGGTAAATGAACAAACGTTCATGAACACAAATGAACGAACGAGACTCTTGTTCATGTTCGTTCGTTTAACTAAACGAACAAAAAAAATTGTTCATGTTCGTTAATTTATTAAATAAACGAACTTCCCGCCGAACGGTTCACGAACAGTTCGTTGAACGTTCGGTTCGTTTACAGCCCTACCTGTATCGATCCTACGGCCATCATGAATAAGGATATAAAATACGTCCTAAATCAAACCAACCAACATGCATACCCGACCTAGGCAAGGACGGGTTGGATGGAGGTGTAGGACCTACATAAAATATGGAACATTTTTTTTAGTATGTAGTAGTTGTTCAAAAAAAATTAGTAAATAAAAGTAGCATAAAGTTTTAAAAGGAATTTAGTATTATATTAAGGATTCGTACATGTACTAATTAATTGAAGAAAATATGTAACATGCAATCCATAAAACAAGTACTAATTAATTCGTACATGTACTAATTAGTTTTAAAACCATAACTCTATCTCAACATGTAATCCATAAAACAAGAATATCCACCAAGAACAAGTGCAAAGAATGGATTATACCTTACTTGATGATCAAATCCTTCAAAGATCTTGTAGTTCCTCTTTGATTTGAGTTAAATCAAGCCTATGTGTGTGAAAATCGCACCTCTAGTGTGTGTGTGAGTTTTGGACTTAGATGGCAAGAGAAATGGGCCAAAACTCCAATTTATAATGCTAAAACTCGAGTTGGGCCGGGTTGGCCCGGCTAAGAACCCATTTTGACCATCAACACTTAAATTATTCATAACTTTTCGCTCGGAACTCCGTTTTCTATGAGATTTTCGCCTACACGCGCATAAAGAGATAATCTATAACATCCAACAACAATATTCCAGAAAATATCTCCCAAAAAAATCTGTTTTATGTATCCATTTGACGTGATATTTTCCAAATCCTCTAATATATTCTTAAGAAATAAAATTCTAAAACTTCAGACCCAAACTCCCACTAAATCATAAGTTCTATTTAACCCAATAATTAAATATACCAAACAAWTAATTGGGCATATTAGAAATTGGATGTTACAAGTTTGATTCAAAATTTTTGAAAAATATTGTGTTTTTGTGTTAAAACCTTGATCAAATTGTTAGTAATCGAGTTGTGCATCTTTGTTATATACAAAGTTTTATGTTTTGATCATTATTTTTCTAGTTTTGATGAGATTTTGTGTTTTTTATGTGTTTTGATCGGATTATGGATTGATTAGCTTAATAAGGTTTACCCGGATTCCTTTAAATCGATAAAGGAGTTAGACTAGGCTTGACCGGATTCCTCTTCATCGCTCAAAGACTTGGTGTTTCTGCTCACTTAGTAATCCAGACATAACCCTGTCCAGATTTGTTCTAAATCGTTTGAAGTTTGTCAGGAGTTCCCTAAATCGCTTCCTTCTTCATCTGTACTTCATCTTAATTGCATATAGGCCTGTCCGAACTTGGATTAAATCGTCTGGCTCATCACCCGATTTAAGTAAATCTATCATAGGTTCAGCCGGTTTAGGACTTAGCCAATATTGTAACAAGTTAGCCGGATTTCTTGTCTTGATGGGATTAGCCATCCTCGGTCACTTCTTTTCACGATTTAGGACTTAGCTGCATACAATACATTGTCCAGAGTCTAAGTAATCGTTCATAGACTTACTCGGACACAGTCTACATCGCTCGTGGCTCTATCCGGATTTAGTTAAATCGCTCGTGACTTGAGTGTTCTCGCATCCAGAAATTCGGACATAGCATTGTCCGTACTTAGCTTAATCGCTCAAGAGTCTTCTCCGGATTCAATTCTCGGACAATCCCTTAGTCGCATTTTCTGTATTCCTGTATCCTAATCCGGACAGTGCATTGTCCGGACTTGACTCCTTGACCAAAGATTGTTGCAAATTTCAATAAGTTGATCATTTGATTTTGTTTAGATTTGAACTGTTTTTAAGAAAAATTCACTGTTTTTTTAATAGGTTTTATCTGTTTGGTTTGTGAACTGTTTGAGAATTTTTCACTATTTTGAACTGTTTGAGAGTTTTTGAACTGTTTTGCGTTGTGTAAATTGTTTCTTATCAGTTTTAACCGTTTGTGATTGTTTTTAATAGTTTTTAATTGCTTTCAAAAGTTTTGACTGTTTTTTCTGATTTTTGAAAGTTTTTCGTCGGTTTTTTGATTTCTCAACAGTTTTTGTGTTTTTCTGATTTTTTAGATTAATTGATTGATTTTGATTTCTTTTAACTGATTTCATAGCATTAGATCTTGTGATCAATCTGATTTTAAAATGGCAGTTTTGTTTGAGAAGGAGAATGTGGATTTGAGAATTAAAATCTCTGAATTGGAAAAGAGTGTAAAGAACTACAAAGATAAATACATAAATATGTTTGATGAAAATTACGCAGATAAGGAATTTATTAAGGATCTGCAAAAAGAAAAATAAAGCTTTGAGAGAAAATTACGAAGAAGATTTATCACTTAAGGTTAGTGAACTTGAGAGAGCTTTGGACACTGTAAGAAAAGAGTGTGAAGTAGAATTGAAAAGTTGGAGTAAATCTAACAAAGATCTATGTGACAAACTTCAAAAAGTCCAGAGTGAACTTAATGTTGAGAGAAAATCTCCAAGTACTTATACTGAGACAGAGAGTAATCTGAGTGAGTTAAAGAAGCTATTGGATTTGGAGAAAGAGAAGGTTCTAGAAGTTGAGAAGAGTTTGGATTTTGAAAGAAAGAAATTTGAGAAAGAGAAGAAGAGGGTGATTGAATTAGAGAAAAGATTCGGTGCTGAACGCATATCTTATGAAGATAAGATAAACTCTCTCGAACTGAATGCTAAAATGTTGTTATAGCAAATCTCGGATTTTAAGCAGCTGATCATCTTGAAACGAGACAAGACTGATGAAGAGAAAGAAGACATCAAAGAAGAGTGTATGAGCCAGACTTAGAAATTGTCTGACAGCATTGCTCTAAAACAGAAGACTTTAGATGAAGAGAAGAAGCAGTTTGCGATTGAAAAGAGAAATACTGCAAAGAAATATGCAGCTATAGCTAAAGAGCTTGCTGAAAAGAAAACATGGTTCGACATTGCTTCTGAGAATGAGAACAGCAACTCAGATGAAGAAAGAAGAAAGTTTGACAATCAGAAAAGGAAATTTGAGAAGCTTAAGAAGGAGTTAGAAGGTAAACTCCTGGATACTTCAAGGAAATTGTCTGATCTGAAGACAAAACTTGAAACTAAAATGAAGATGAGAACTGAACTTAAGAAGAAGTATGATTTAGTTACTGATGAACGAGACTTGCTTCTAAAGAAAGTCAAAGACTTTTCTTGTGCTCAAAGCTCAACTGGTTCTCCTTCACAGTGTAAAACCAACTTTTATGACTGTTCCAAATCGAATAATTATTCAAGCAGCTCTAAATCCACTGTTTATAAGAACTATTCTCGTTCTTCTAATCAGTACTATCAAGGGTATGTTATCGGATCACCCAATTCTCATTCAAAATTTAAAAGTATTTGGGTAAATAAGTATGAATTTTTTTTATCTCAGAACTCTGTTGTTACTAACAATCTTCCTTGTTTTGTGAGATCCACTTCTGACTTAATAAATCTTAGCAAGAAAAGGATCATGTGCTCCATATGCAAGAATAATGCTTTTGTGAATAGGATGAGGTACAACAGATGGAATGCAGACAGCAGATATCAGAAAAGTTGGAAAGGAAATAACAGGTATGATAACACTAACTGGTATGAATCTTATTCTGTATATAATCATCCTGTTAAAAACGCGAAAAAGAACATATCTAATAAAAATAGATGGTTTGGAAGTTATAACATCTCGCAACCTGATACTAACAAAGAAGGACCCAAGTTCATTTGGGTACCAAAATCTGTTTGATTTCGTTTTGCAGGTGCGTCATTACTACGTTGATTAGAGACTCATACATATGATGCACAAATTCAGGGGGAGATTATAATTTGTCCAAACAAAGACTTTTGAATAAATCAATTCAGGACCAGCTCTTAACCGAGTGTGGTTGCTAAACACTCAGTTTAGGACCCATGCTTAAAATGTTTCTATTTTTTTTCTTTTGAGCTTAACTGAAACATTTCTTAAATCTATTTTCTAGGGGGAGTCTCTAGAATTTTTGAATAAATGTTTTCG